GAAGAAGAGAGAGAGAGGAGAGAGAGAGAGAGAAAGGACCAGATAGTACTTTGGTTCCTTCCCATCCTGGGAATAGGACTAGCAGGCCCAGCCCCTTGAATGCCAGCACAGTCAGAATGTCTCAGTCCCGGCACAGTCCCAGTCAAGTGCCTTAGCCACAAAAACATCCTTCCTCTCATGGGCTTATTGCAGCTAGACAGTTTCAAATTAGGAAGTTCCTGAATCAGGCAACAGAGTTTCCTTAATTTTATTTGACAGTTGGCAGCCATACAGTATATCTGTGCTTTTCCAAGACAAGTTCAGTTTTGCTATCCCTATAGTTTCAGCTGCATAAGGTGTTCACTTTCTTTCCCAAGCTTCTCTGTTTTGCTGTTGTGCATTCTATTGAGTTTCAGTCCTGTATTTCAGTCAACGAAACACAGTGGATGGGCAACATGATTCTTTTATATATGGTTTATGAAGTGCATTTGGATCCTTCTGGAAGGAAGGCACTGAACAAACATAAATTGTCACTATTATTATTATTATTGTTACAGTGTTGCTTTAGCCGTGTTGGTCCCAGGATGTGAGAGAGACAAGGTAGTAAGTAAGGTATTATATTTGTTGGACCAACTCCTGCTGGTGGAAGGTCCAAGTTTTTGAACTACACAGAGTTCTTCTTCAGGCTGGTTATATCTTACTGTGTTGACCAATATTGCTTTAGCAAAGAGGCACTGGGATCATTGGCACCTGACCTAAAAATATATGCCACCTTTGCTATGGGACCTATGCTCCTCCAGAGAGAGAGGCTCATGCTCTCACAGCTTCACAAGCTGTAGATTCTTAGTTGAATATTTCTGTGCCCAGAGCAAAGTTTTGCAGTTTTAAATTGTAGAAAGCTAATTTCATGTTCCCAACAAACATTCAGTGGCACAAAGGACCACAGGAGCCTCCAAAAGAGTATTTCAGTGGGGACTTCTCAGTCAATGCTTTATTTAAAAAAAAATACTGCTTACCGGAGGACACAGTAGCAGTTCAAGTGCTTGAACTGAAATATCCTTGTGAAGTCCTCATGATAGAAACTGATATGTGCTGCAATGGATAATGGATGAGTTTTCTTGGATAGCTGATACATGGGACAGACCATCCCTAATTTATTTATTATGATAGTGTGCAATGGTGGGTGACTTAAAAACAAAAGGGATGGGGGAGACTTTTTCCCCTATGTAGATGAAGACACAAGTTCTGTTATTTATGATGATTTTATTATAGTAGAGCCTAGAATTCTCAACCAAGATCAGGGCTCAGTTGTCCTAGACACTGTACAAGTATACAATGACAGACAGTCCCAACCTCCAAGAGCTTATAGTCTACATAAACAGGACGGGTATGAGCATAGGAAAAGTGACTTGCCCAAGGTCACACAACAGGTCATTAGCGGAACCATGAGTAGAGAAGTCTCCCAACTCCCAGTCCAGCCTGGTCCACTGCCCCACACTGTACTGTAGACTT